CTTTTCAAGTATTACACTATTATATGTCTATTTCTTTCTTAATGACATAATGATTTACAAAACTAAACAAGTTTTCTTTAAAAAAAAAAGGCATACACGACATTAAAAAAATTTTCATGTTTTTCACAAATACGTCTCTTCTTCAACTGGTTCTTAGAGATATTATTACACAGGTCGAAACATAAATAAAAAACAAAAGAAGTTAATTGATTGAAATGCTAACAGTTCATAAATATTTCTCAACATTTCAACTTTCCTTTCAATCAATTTCCTATTCCAAATAATATGGCCTCAAAAGTAAAAATACATTTCTTCAAAAATCCAATGCTTTACCTTTAGTATAGCAAACAAAAAATTTTTTGTGCCTTTATCTTTTGTTTTGTAAATAACCAATACCAAAAATACAAAAGCAGGCTAACATTATAAGATACTTTTTTTTTTAACAGTTTTATACTATTCCACTGGTTATACATGGTAATATGCATATATTATGCCTTAAGTTTTTATGATCACTTTTACAAGTTGAAATATTTTTATACTTTCATTTTGTTACTCTTACTCATACATAATAAAACAACATCCAGAGGTGCCACTTATTATTCCTAGTACTGAAATATAACTTCCCTCACACACTCTCAACTGTCTCTAGAAAAACTGATTTACTGATTGCACATTTTAACAGTTGTGCTAATAGTATTCAACCCACTACTTCAATTACATAAAGACTAGTATTCTACTTTTCAAAGATTATCCCATGTTAGTTTCATCATTTGTTGTTCCAAATTGTCAGTTTAGGATACAAGTACACTCTTTGAGGACACCACGTAATTACAAGATGTTCTCAATCCTAATTAACTTAATATATTAAACTCAAAACTGAAGAAGATTTAACTGATTTTAACCTTGTTTTAATTAAAACAAATACCTTTTTTTAACCTAAGATCTACAAAACAAAAATAAGCACTGATCAAATAATAAAAACAAGTAGACTCACCCTATTCAAGTCTCCATGCAACTTTTCTAAAAGCATGACTAAAAACTCATGAGAATCTTGTTGTTCATATCCTAAAAAGCCAGGGATGTGCTTTCCTACTACATTCTTGAAATAGAAAACATACACATTACAAAGTGACCAAAACTAGTACGCATTTGTTATTAACTAGCTATATTTTTGAAACAGTATAACAAATGTACTACATTTCCTTATAACATCATCTCAATGTTCCTTATCATCTATGAACACATTTACACAAACCTTCTCTACATTTTAACATTACAAATGAACAGGCGCTATATGCAGTGTATCTTTATAAACCTTTGAGCAAAACATTACTATAAGCCATTATGAATTCATAACATTTACACTTAATAACTTAAATAAAATCTTTAACTGGTTAAAACCTACATTTAGATTAAAAGTCAAGTTTAATGCCAAATCCTTCTCTTTCACAGAGACAATGTGAATAGAACAAAGAACATAATAAACTGTTCCTACCCATACTTCGACCTGAAAATTAATTCTCCCTGTTATCATGTACATAAGAACACATTTCATAAGAAGCATCAAACTATCTCTATCTATCTACACTGAAATTCAATATTTATACTCACTTTAAAGTCTTTGGGTGCTATTGACCGGTACTGGCCAGTCCACATGGCTCTAACAATGATAGCAAATTCTTCAGCTAATTCTCCTCTAGTACCTTGCTTGTTTTCTCTGGTAATATTGAAAAATAAAAATCTCAACAAACAACACTGATTTTAAATCAGACTTCAATATTTAACATTTTTATTGGAAATCAGACGTGGCTACAGTATTAAACTTAAAAACTGATGGTAACAATAAGCTGTATTAGTTACCATTTTTCATTATGTATGACCGTTAGGCTTCACATGATGAGTGCTTGCTCATCATTACTGCCTACAGTAAAGTTTCAAACCTTTCAGAAATATTGCTCAAAAGAAATTAAATGTATTATATTTAACTTATAAATCACTAGTTTACCTTCCTTTGTTCAAGATTTAAGTAATAGCAATTTAGGGCACATTCACAAAGTATCAAAAGTATAACAGATAAATCTTTTTTTATGATGTCACTAGTTAAAATGTTTGGATTAAATATCTTTAATATTTTTGGTTCCTTTATTTATTTTAGTAGTAATATATTTCTTAAATCTTTGCCTCATGTGCTATTATACATGACTCTACTATATAATTCAACAATATATTTTACAAACCATACTTAAACTGGCACATGATAACCAACTGGATAGGGTTTGGGAGATCACTAAAGAAGTACCAGCACCTGTACACATTACGTACATTTATTTTGTAACAATTACACATAATCATTACACTGTGTGTGAAGTACAACCAATTAGAAAATAGCCAAAAGTTCAATCCTTGATTATTTATAAAAAAAAAAGTTAGCTATCTATTTGTCAAATTTACATGAAACAAAACTCAAAACTCTTATTAGACTAGTAGATTTCAGTTCTTATTGTATATATATTCATGACACCTGCTATTATCTTAAATTATGGCCCAAATGTAATGCGTAAAGTAACGATATACATTAAAACAATTTCAGATTTTTTCAAGATAAAAATTCAGTGTTAACAGTCAATAAAATAATGATTTATTAGTAACACAACTTTTTTTTTGGCTTTGAACCTTCATTAGCTGCTTATATTAAACAAACTACAACGTACCAGCTGGCACTTACACACACACTATACAGAGACTGTCACATAGAAATCATCAACTATAAACTATATGTTATGTGCAAACCACTGTTAAAAACAATTTTTTTATGAAGGAAAATTCTTTATACATAACGTATGAAAAACTAGATTAAATTGAGCTAAATCAAGTTATTTTAAACAAAATACAAACAATTCAAAAACACTTAATAAAATAAAATAAAACTCTTCAGGAAACCTCAAATTAATTAAATTTAAATTAAAACCATATTATGATACATTCTGTACATATTTAACAACAATCATTAATTAATTAACTTCTAGCCAAGTCTATTGCTTATACATAGATACTTTTGTATCATCAGAAGTGTTTCTAAAATTTTTCCATCAGCATCATTTGTCATTTTATGCATAGAATATCACAGGTGAGCTAAGGGGTGCCAGCTGTTCTGGATCTGTGAAAAGCCTGAAAATGGGAAACTTATTGGTGTATCTCACATCTTATTTTTAACATCCCTTTGGTCTTCACATGATCACTCCTTAACACCTTAACTGCTGCGAGGCTTGGCATCATCTGTGGCAAGTGCTGATAAGAATTTTAGTGCAATATCACTGTATTTTCAAATTAAGTAATAGCAACAATAACAAATCAAAAACATGTAATTCTTACATATTTTTTATTTATGATGCACGTGTTGCGAGCACACACGACAAATGCTAAACAAGTACATGTGTTCTCAGCAGTGAATGTGTTAGACGATCCTCTAGTTTCCTCATGTAAGTACATTGGGTGGGACATAATTTGCATCTCAGTTGATATATAGCAATGTTTAGTCTACATTTACCCATATGAAAACAATACTGAGATCAAAAACAAGAGGTGGGTGTGAAGAAAGTTAAGCATCAAGTTAGAATGTAATAGCCTATCGTTTAACATAAATCTGCAGGAAAGAGTGAGACGAATGTTGAATCTTAATTAATAGATAATTTTTCTTGTCTGGTTAAACAAAGCCTCAGATATGAAAGGTTATTTATAAGTTCCATTGGATTGATTTATTTTTTGATGTTTTGAAACCTCTTTTTAATAACATTATCTATTACTTTATTTGGGTAGTTAATGCTCTTTTAGTTTCTAATACATGACCATCGTTTTGCAGCTTTGCTTCCATCAGTTACTAGTCAATTGGCCTTTTTCATTCGATCAACGGCAATACTTTCTTTAACACTGACAGATGGTATGTATGACATATAGTTTCTATGTGATTATCTCTTATAAAATATATATATGTACTTGTCAGCAGGTATGTTGTAACTAGTTTAGTGGAAGCACCTGAAGAAGGCTCAAGATTGAAACTAATAAATCCTAGTTTATATTATTTTACTGAGTATGTTAACACTGATTCTTTACCTTCAATTACCAAACTGTACTCTCAAGAAGGCATCACATAATTAAAAAGACAATTTTGAATTATTTCTACAACATACTGTCATTTCACAAACACAGCGTTACAATCATGAAATACCACTGAATTATACAAGTAAAAAAAAACACGATGAGGAAGTCAATTTCAAATAACAGTTTGTCTGATTTATTCAAAAACTAAATTCTCATGTCTCACAGAAAACAAGAAACTGTAGCTGAACTAATTTACATTTTTAAAAACTCCTCAATCAACACTAATAACTACTTAATAATTCAATGTAAGTGACATACATATATTCATTGCAAACAAGCTGAATGCTTAAATCTCATTTCTGTTTACAAAAAAAATTAAGTCTTCAGAAAAGAAACTAAAGAATAATAATTTTTATTTGCAATTTTGAATTAAACAAAAGTTAATTTTCTAAAATTAACTTATCCTGGCCAGAAATAAAAGATATGGCAAAAGTAGTGGTGTTTACAAGGCATTGCAGCACAGAATTCATAACAGAAGTGTTTCCTATAAATAGACTTACATGTTTATTTGACGCTTATACCGGCCAGAAATAAAATGTATGGCAAAAGTGGTAGTGTTTACAAGACACTGCAACACAGAATTCATAAAACAAGTGTTTCCCAAATTCTTCAGACCTGTCCCTGCTTGACCCTATAAATAGGTTTTATAAGAAACAAATTTTAAAAACTTTTATAGAACTTATACAGCATTTTGAATATAATTCTCAGTAACTATAATCTGCTTACTGTGTAGGAAAATGTTCAAAAATATTATTTAAATAAGCCCATTTGATATGCAAGACTTTTCATTAACCTAAGAGTGAACAAATAATGTTTTTTAAATCTTTTTTTAGTCTTTTAGCTTCATTTCTTCTCTTTAATACAGCCCTACTGTTTTTCCACTCTCTCATTTGTTATCACAGAAAAATGTACACATTTCTTTTGTCTTGCTCCTGCAATAGACTGGAATCAGTAATCAATTTTAACTCATATTAATTCAATAAAGTAGGTAATATAGGTGCATATATGACTTAATGTGAAGGGGACGATTTTTGCCTAATGTTTTATTTTCACTTCATGATTCACTTAAAGATCCTCATTTTCTGAAGCTTCACCATAAAAAAAAAAATTTCCTTTCATAACTGACTTACAGAAGGCTTTGTGACTATGTTGCTGTTTTTAGAATGTTATGAATTTATTATTTTAATTAAATAAATTTTATACTGAGCCAATATATCATCACTTCTATATTCAAGTAAGCAGTATGACAATAGGATTTATAATCTATACCAACAACATTGACAAAAAATAAGTTACTTTTCTTTTCAGCATTGATCACTTAGCATTCAAATGCAATAACATATTTATTTCCTTTGACAAAGCCTAAAATAACAGATTCAGCCATGCTGGAAATCTTGAAATTCTAAGTCCTTGTCTTACCTGTACTTCTTTTTTTCTGAATACCTAGTATGGCAGTTGAAAATTCCAGTATTTTGCACTTCTATAATTATAATAAAAACTTCTTTTTATTCATATATATTCAAGCTAATTGTTCAGAATTTTCATGCAGGTGTTTCGCATTTCGCTGGCATCCTCACAAACAGGATGTAGTCAACCCTGACATGCTCCAATCACTGCACCAGTTAAAGATTATATACTACAGTGGTCATTCTCGATACATTATATGTGTATAAAGATTTCTTTACTGTCTCCAATCTGGTGTGCAAGCCTTTCCCATTTGGTGGGGTGATATAAATGTTTGCAAAGGTTAGTGTGAACAAGGGGTTAGTCTGGTGGGGTGATACAAATGTTTGCACAGGTTAGTGTGAACAAGGGGTTAGTCTGGTGGGGTGATACAAATGTTTGCACAGGTTAGTGTGAACAAGGGGTTAGTCTGGTGGGGTGATACAAATGTTTGCACAGGTTAGTGTGAACAAGGGGTTAGTCTGGTGGGGTGATACAAAAGTTTGCACAGGTTAGTGTGAACAAGGGGTTAGTCTGGTGGGGTGATACAAATGTGTGAACAAGGGGTTAGTCTGGTGGGGTGATACAAATGTGTGAACAAGGGGTTAGTCTGGTGGGGTGACACAAATGTGTGAACAAGTGGTTAGTCTCCTCTAAAATGTGCTATGCGGATAATCCCTGATGTAGATAATCTAGGACTGTAGGATACCACTCTAAGACAATGGTCTGACAAAATGAGTGATATCAACACAATTTCTTCCTTCTTTGTTGAGCACAGTCAAGTTTTCTCCCCTCTCCAACAGCTACAAGTTATTCAGAACAGAAGCATCAAAACCTCTACAATATAACAGAATGATTTCTGACGCAGGTAATTTAGGATAGTTTTGAAAAACAGTACTATGAGATCAGGCAATGAATAACACATTTTTATAGAAACATTAATTAATTCATCAACAAAACACACTGCTCCATAAATAAGATCACGTACCTGATTACCATATACCGGAGTAAGGTTTCGCAAGCGAGCAGCATTCAGTTCCACTAATTTTGCTCCATAATGTGTGGGAGACGATGAAATTTCATTTCTGTTGAAATAAAAAGCAACACTTATAAAGCAAACATAAAAGAAGTGGATATGAGAGGTATTTATTACCTTCTACAGTTTTAAGTAGACACATAAAATTGTTTCCAGAATTAAAAAGCTGATAGCATTTGGCTTGTGAGCATATCAAAATATGCACCATCTAGTTATACATTTAGCACAAACATTCCAACCCAAATGTACAAAAAAATCAAGTGAAAAACCAACCATGTACATCTAATAATTCAGGAAAGCTAACCAATATAATGAATACTGACATTAATGATTAAACATTTTTTCACTTAAAGAGTTGCTTTAGTTGCATGACATTGTGAGAGGTTTTGGATAAAACACAGAAAATTAATTTTTAGCCTTGAACATTTAAATCCTACAAGAAAAAGCTTGGTAAGTCTCTCAAAAAATACACTGAGGCAATAGACTGGTCAGTAAAGTGCTTTAAAACTAAAATTGGTACAAATATATCATAGGGTTTGTGTTCTATGTACCTAGTGAGCCTCGCAAGACATTTTTGCTCTTGAGAATTATATTAAATCATAGGGCACAAGTAAAATTTTATGTAGAACTGTACAAACCCCAAGAAAGATAGTATAGCTGTAAAACCTTCATGAAACTATAAAACTTTATAAACTCCAAGAAAGATTGTGGAACTGCGCAAAGTCTAATAAAGACCAAGAAAACATAATAATGTGCTGAAAAATAAACATTAGTCTTAAATGAGACAAAGCAACAATCTTTGAAACACTAGTAAATCAAATAGATGTAGGTCACTGATTTAAAGAAAAATGTTTCTTATGACAAAACTTCTCATAAATTTGTGATGTACGTTTTGAGCAGCACTTCTTTTAAGGTTAAATTCTGATTACAAAAAATAATATTTTTTGTTAACACCTCTAATACACAAAATGTACTCAAACCTTTTACACCAGGAGCTTTCAGCAAAGAATTAATTTTGATTGTATCCTAGTTAATATCAATTGCTCTACATCCATGATTGCTACGTACTACCAAACGTTACTTTGGATGAAAATAATAATAAAGCAGAAAAATGTATATGTTATTTCAATTACTGAAGAAGCAAACAAAAGTTGTTTCATACCATTTACCATAAAAATACTTATGTTAACCTGCTTTACTCTTGCCTCAGGCTAGATTGTGTCAGTTTTTAATGTATAATACAATCTAAACCCTCCCTTCCCTTGCAAGGATGCCCACCCAGTAAAAAAGTAAAATGAATACATAAAATCTTCAATAAAGACTAACAAAATTATATGGGAAGAATGTATCAGTTCAAAACCAAAATAGACTAACAAAATTATATGTGAAGAATGTATCAGTTCAAAACCAAAATAGACTAACAAAATTATATGGGAAGAATGTATCAGTTCAAAACCAAAATAGACAAACAAAATTATATGGGAAGAATGTATCAGTTCAAAACCAAAATAGACAAACAAAATTATATGGGAAGAATGTATCAGTTCAAAACCAAAATAGACAAACAAAATTATATGGGAAGAATGTATCAGTTCAAAACCAAAATAGACAAACAAAATTATATGGGAAGAATATCAATTCAAAACCAAAATAGACAAACAAAATTATATGGGAAGAATGTATCAGTTCAAAACCAAAATAGACTAACTTTCAGTTATGCTTAAAAAAGCTGTCAACAGACTTATCCATTTTTTTCTTTAATGTAGCAAACTTTTGGTTGTGTTGCAAAAGGTGTTATCATCAGGATTAACCACTTGTAAAGTAGTAAACTTTACGTCTTATAACTAAAGCTACTATCAGACTTAGCAAGGAGAAAACCTGTGTTAACTCTTGTTTTTATATTCATTAACTCACATTACGAGCTTTAAAGAGCAGTAGTTGCAGTGCATCTATTGCTTAAGTATGATATTGTATGCTTTTCATACGTCTAAAACTTATTCTTATAAATATTTGACCTATAATAATACTACACCATTATTTTTTTATATTAGCTCTACTTTGAACCGGAAAAAAAGAAAAGCTCATAAGATTTATGTACAGTAAATAACATATATAGTGATGTGGAGTTATTCATGTGTATACGTATCAAAATAATTAATATTTTTGTAGTTTCATTAAGAATGTACTTCCTAATTTGTGAGTAAAGACAATACAAATCTGAACTTATAACCTTGGCTTGAGAGAGCGATCAAATTCTGGCATCCGTACTTTCACTGATTGGTCATTTTCTTCAGCAATCATCTGAGCAATGTTTGGAGAAGAGTGTGAACGTGATAAACCACGTTTAGAAGATAAGTCTTCATGATCTACATCTTCCTTTAATCGAACACTATATTCTCCTTCCTTTGCTGAGCTAGGTCTTCCTAAAAATCAGCATTAAAATACTTACTGTAAATCTATATATTTTTTAGTAAACTTCACACAAAACGTTTTTCAAACTTAGTGCTCTTTTAAAAATATATTTCTATTAACAGAAATACCCATTACAACTTTTTTTTACTAAACTGGGGGCATTTTCTTCTGACATCACAGTATACTTGGTACCATTACCTAATTTCAACCTTGTTATAATACAAAAGACAGTTAACTGTATAAACAGTTAACAACAAGACAAAAAAAGAGCACATCATAATACAACATTTCACAACTGTATTCTACAATGAGAATAGACAACTGTTTCCACACATATTGCACATAATATTCAAACTCACAAAAGAAACCTCTATTTTATTACTTGTTTTTTTACATATTTATTCATTTCAATTATGGCTAATGCTTCTGTATGACTATGTGATAATGATAGATATAGGTGGCAAAAGGAAGTTTATGACAAAAGAACAAGTTGTCATAGCTCTTAAAGTGTTGGAATCTGAGCAACCACAGAGACAAATGGCTGTTCATTTTGCTTTATCTAGATTCCTAATAGGAATATTATGGACAAAATTGGTCTGTACAAAATAAATCTTGAATAAGATTGTAAAATGTCAACCACACCATGTAATAAATGATTTCAATATCACATAAGAAATATGAACTGCTCATGGACTCACTGTGGACTGGAAAAGTTCACATATAGAGAGAGCAGCATTAAATCAGGAAAGCTATATGTGAGAAAAGGTTAAATACCGTTTCTAAAACATCATTAAATTCTGCCTGATTGTTATAAACATTACCTGGAAAAACCATAATCTCACACCTGTACCATATTTGTATAATCACTACTAAGTTAAACCTAATAGGGTTTTTTAGGTTTAACAATGGACAAATTTAACAGAAAAGAATAACGTGTTTTTACCTTTGACTTCACTACCTGCTGCATGCTTTGAAAGTGCTTTTGCATGAACATTATCTTCTTGAGACTTCTTATTTGTTTTTTCTCTCATTTCCATATCATGCTTCTCCTTTTCTTTCTGTTTGCAAAGTTCTTCTTGTTCTTTTTCCTTTTGTTTTCTTTCTCGTCGCAACCTAAAATAATTGTTGGTTAAATAAATTGCACAAAATCCATCTGGATACTTTACACTTATTAATTCAATGGAAATGTTATCTTGTAAAATCTGAATAATACTCTGTTCAATCTGAAAGTTTACAGTAAAATAACTTGTAAAAAATGACCAAAATACTAAATGACATTTATTTAGAGCTTTATTTTTAAAAATCTGTATTATTTTTAAGCTTACATAAAATTTTCATTTTGTTTCATGATAAATGATCCACCATTTTTTAGCATATGACTTCAAAAATCTTTTTACTAATTTTACTGAAAATCCTTTAATTCTCATATAGTTAATTACAATTAAAACAAATTCTTCAAACTAAAATCTCAGAAAGATTCTGAATTAAATATGAAGATGTTTTTGAAATTACGCTTTTAAATACTTAGATTTTACGTCTTTTTTACAGTATGCAAGTTCCCCATTGAATGCTATTATTATCAAATAGTGAAACATCTTTAGTTTCTTTAACAAACATGACAACCAACCACGTGCACATATGCACATTCCACTTCCCTGTGGTGGACCATTAAGTAGAATTATTCAATTTAACAGATAAAAAACAAAAACAAATTTCCACACCTTTCGGTTTCTTGTAGAACTGTTTTCTTTATGGCCTCTATCTGACCGAGCTTTTCTTGTTCTTCACTTTTCTGTTGTTCATGCTTTTTTAATTGCTGTTGTTGTAAGAAATTATTTCAGTTATAGTAACAAAAAAGAAACTGAAATATCTTTAACTACTCCAAAAGAAGTTCCAAAAATATGAGACTGCACATGAACATCAAAGGTGACTTTTGATAAAAATGATCAGCACTGAAAATACTTGAAAACAAAATTTATTATTTTGTTTTTAATCTCTTGGGATGACATGTAAATGACAACTTATCTTGTGCTTCTCACTCTTTTTTTTTTCATAATAAATTCAAATGAAAATTTTTTTAATGGATCAAAATATACCATTTATAACAATAAATGAATTTTTGTAAGTTACTTTTTAAATTTATGTATATCACCGCAACATTTTTCAAATGAATCACAACAATTTCCCTTAGATGTACAGGTTTAGTTAATGCTACACATGAAAACACAACTATTTTTAAAATGAACTCCGATGAATTTCAAAAGTTGTATGTTCTTGATATTCACCTTGCTAATTCATTCTTTTAGTATTGGGTTTTACATTTTGGGTTAAAATGTAAAATGTTTCTCCAGAATGACAAATCAGCTAAGCTGCTGACAAGAAATCAATCAATACACACATGGTGCCTAGTACAGTAGCAGCCTCCTCACAATTATCAAATATGACGTATTAATATGTATAATTTGTCACATGCAAATTCATACCATAAATGATTTCATAATTAAATTTCTTTACTCCATATTTATGGTAGGATTCAATATAATGTCTTCATTTGAGAAAATCCAAAACAAGCCTAACTATTCTGGAACATGATGATCTACCTTACTGTAAGCCGTGATAAAATGCACAGAATGTTACAGGGTACAAAATCCAGCTCTCATATGCACATCCCTAATAAAAAGGTGAGATGTATTTTTATGTACTGACATTCACACTCCCACACCGAAAAATGCTTTCACATGTAAATAGTGTTGTGAAGGAAATTACAATAACTGTGATAATAAAATATAAAACTATAGTATCTAATTTTGATTTGAATGTTAGATTCAGTTGTACTTTATTAATATTTTTTTATAGAGTGGATGTAAGTATTAATATTTAATAAGTAACCAAATATTAAAAATGTGGCCCTTCTTCTGTATACTTTGCCATTATTTCTGCTGAAAAATTAAATATTTGAATTCCATAGGCAAATATAAGTATAAATGTAAGAGGAATAATGGATTGCACATGAATGGTAATTTTTCATGAACTTTTTTTTTGTTTGGAATTTTGTGCAAAGCTACACGAGGGCTATCCCTAATTTAGCAGTGTAAGACTAGAGGGAAGGCAGCTAGTCATCACCACCCCCTGCCAACTCTTGGGCTAATCTTTTACCAACGAATAGTGGGATTGACTGTCACATTATAATGCCCCCACAGCTGAAAGGGTGAGCATGTTTGGTGGGATGGGGATTTGAACCCGCGACCCTCAGATTGCGAGTTGAGCACCCTAACCACCTGGCCATTCTGGGCCTTTTCATGAACAAAGAAATTTTGCTCTAATCAACAAGCTGTGAAATTAAAATATATATAACCTTACTGAGAGTGATTCTGTAATTTCAGGTGTTTTTCCTTTCATATACAAAATAATTTAAAATGAATTTCAAGTCTACAAAACAAAAGTTACAAAATTATTCAACAATTTTACTTACTACACTTTTCTAGGTTGCTTTTGTGTATATATATATAAAATCAACTGTAAATTTAAATGCAATAATACTACAAGATGATGATAATTTTCTGCCAATTTCTTAATGTTACCAACTGTTGATGAATCTGACTACTTAAGAAACACAAGAGCATTATATTTTTAGATATAAAATTTTCATGTAAAATTGGCTAAGTCCCTAATCAAACAAAACCTATATAATATTTTAACATGCTTTGTATTTAATTTGTTTTAACTATGAGTGGAACAACTTGTTCACCTCAGGCATAGATCAGATTAAATTTTAAGTTGATTGGTTAGAAACATTTCACCTCTATAGAAACCAGTCACACAAGTTCAGCTCCACAGATTGCATTGTTGCTAATTGTCTACTATCTGAATATTTTTCAGTCACATAGTTAATGACCAAATAAACCATGAGTAACACCATCATACTACACCTTCTCTCTTTAAGAGGTATTAATCCAGTATTAAGATTTTACAAATAAAATGTGCATTTAAGAGTTCAAATCTATTTTTAAAAATAAGAAAGCAACTAAAACTTTCTTACAAAATGCTTTTCATGTCTGAAAAAGTTAAAAAACATGCAACAAATTATTTCCTACATCAAAGATTATTTAATTTTGGTAAACTGACTAACTATTTATTTGTGTTTAACAATGACTAAATTGTAATGAAGTTAGGCTGTATCCTAAATGTTTGGAAAACTTAAGAATACTTTTAAAATCAATGATTAATAGTGTCATTTAAAACCTCAAATGTAAACATGTCACTCAAACTTCAATCATTAGGAATACTGTATAATAATACTAATAAATAAATAAGTTTTATCTTAAAATATAAGTTTTACTAAGTTTCAATAAAAAAAGCAGAAAATTAAACAAAATAATGTATATAAATGATAGTATTTACATATATAGATGATATGGTTCAGTTTTAAATGGTTCTTTAGATCTGAACTTAATATTTCAAATTTATTTAACCCCATACCTGTCTCATCTTTTCACAATAATCTTGGATCTTTTGCATTTCTAAATCTTTCTTTCTTTTCTCTTCCTCAAGAGCATTTATTCTCTCCAACAAAGCTTCTTCTTGTTTCTGAAGTTCTATTCTCATACCTTCCTCCGCTTCACAAGCTCTTTTTAATCTTAAAGCTTCAAACTGTTTCTCTTTTTCTAATTGCTCTTTGGCTATATCTAAACTTTGTTCTGCTACTGCGTGTTCTTTAATTTGTAATTCTTGTTCTCTGTCTTGTTCCACAGAACCTTTGACAGGTGATGACAGCCTGTCAATGGATAGTTTTGTGTCAGAGCTTGCTGATGGTGTTGATTTGGGTTTCAACTTTCTATCTGGGATTTGGATAGTTTTCGGTGATAGACTCTTGCTCTCTGGACCAGAAGACTTGTCAATGGATACTGAATCAAAAGATGATTGATCTACTCTTTCTTTGAAGAAAGCTTTCTTTTTATCTGTATTTTCAACAAAAGATGAGGGTTTAGTACTTCTGTTAACAACTGGTGGTGGTGTACTGACTGGTTTGAATGAAAGATCTTGAAACTTAACTGTGAAACTAGTATTGTCCTGAACAGGTGATGAAGAGTCAGAGGATTCTGAAAAAGCTTCATCTAGATTTGGATAATCAACTTCAGCTGCAAAAACAAACAACACAGATACATATATATTATTACCTAATAAGTACTTTTAATTTTTAAATAATTTCATATGAAAGAATAATTGTTATTTAATGAACCAATTAGGATAATTATAAGACAAAAAAGTAAAGCATTTCATATGGAAAAAAGCTGTTCATCTGACTTTTCATATACACACCTCTGATTGCAGGAAAATGGGTGTTACAATGAAATAGGTAAATAGTCTGGCCTATAAAGGTGATCAGCAGTTCGCTCAAAAGTCATTTCAAACTTGTATGCCATATTGAAGCAGTTATTAAGGCCAAAGGAGGGCCAACATGCTATTAATTTCTTGGAATAAAGACATGTTTTTATTCATAATTACCTGTGTCACATGACTTTTGGTAAGATAGTGTATAAGCAGATTACTGATGCCATTATGATAAAACACATACAAAACCAAAACTAATGATGAATAACTGATTTGTACTTGTCTGTAATATAATGATCAACAGGTAATGTTAACAAATAATTAAAATGTACAGCCACAGTCACAACAGGTATTCTAAAAGAAAGAATTAAATTATGTTAAAATTCAAGCAAAGTGTCAGATGTTTGATTGTGGTTCCAGTCACAAATGGGTTCAGAAACAAGATTGCTTTACTCTCTGTGTCGAAATAATAAAACAAGTTTTGATGCAAAGGTGTATAACAAAGATTATGAAAAACTGTAATAACATACCAGCACAATAATGCACAAAGAATTAAAAAGAAAAACCTAATTTTAACAAGACAAGCATGTCATTCCCAGGGGATGGAATAATACTGTACATAACGTCTTTTACAATCAGGTTCAAAATAGTCCTAGAGAGGTCAAGGTTCACTAACAGCAGAAGAAAAACTTACTTCCAAATGGAGTCGAGTTCAAATCACATTTCATTACTGAGCATCTTTTCTCTATTTTTAAATATTTCTGTTGATTCTCTTGTGTTGCACTGATGGAATAATTTGGGTTTTGTAATGATTTTTGATTGATTAGAATTAATTTTGTGGTGACTATATGAACATGTAATGTTAAGGCCAATTTTCAAATTCCTTTTGACAAAAGTATCCTTTATGTTCCTTTATTTTAGATGAAAGAGATAGTTTTGTTTGACTAATATTACAAGAACAAGTAATGGAATAAATACCCTGTCTGTGGTGGGTTTCTGTGAACATTTTCACTATGTCTCTCAAGAATGACTAGCTTGGCCTGTAGAGACTAATCAGGTTTTTTGTATCTTTTGTTAATTCTTTAATCCTTTATGCATTGTTGTGCTGGTATATTATTACTGTTTTTATGGATAAGTACATATCTTTCTTTAAAGATGGTGATTGTATATTTAGATCATGTTTTTATGCATTAAACAAGACAATATGGGGAAATTTGTCTGACTGCACTAAAAAGATAAAAAAATTATGACAGTTTTCTTGCTTCAGTGCCTGAACAAGTCATAAAAAAGTGTACTGCCATTATATATACTAGCGTAAATGCCACCACATGGGTGGCTGTTTGTGCTAGTAATTACTAATCATAGTATTCATACCTCATTGAAAAAAATTTAGAAAAATTTCTTGCACATGCCACAGTTATTTCTCTAATTGTCTGAATCTTGAATACCCAAAGTGTGAAATTTATATACGTTTTTGTTTGTAGTGCCATTCAATAGAAGGTGCAGGAGTGTTGATTACATAAACAAATACTGACATACATGCTACATCCATTATAGTAAGAAAATGTGAATGTGTGTGTGTGTGTATATATATATATATTATTTTTTTTTTTAAATTCTAATGATGAGGAA